CCCCAAAACCCCAAAACCCCAAAACCCCTAGAGAGTAGAATTAAATTTTATTTTTTTGAAGTAAATAAAAATCTAATCGGAAATTCAAAAGATTCTGATCTCGCTGAACAAAAGCATTTTGATTTTGCAAATAGTATATTCTTTTTAAAAAAAGTTTTTATATATAATCCGCAAATACTCACTCTATGACTTCAAAGGCTGTTTAACCAATGATCAAATCCCTCAAAAAGAGAGATTCATCACATGACGTGAAGCTTCTGTAATCAAGATTCTAGAAGCTGAAGGTCATTGATGCCACTAATCAACAAAAACACAAAAACCATTAAGAGATTAGCTAGATCAGGGGAGACTCCCAGATCGAAAACCTACAACCTAATAAATAGCATTTGAAGTCATAAGGAAATAGCAGGTATAATCCTAGCAACAGAGGAAGTAATTGCGGATCAATAGAACACCAAACAATCGACGTGAAGCGTCACTCAATCGGAAGAGGAAGAATCACGACCCATTCTAGAATGGTGTCCTAGGACTTTAGCAAAAAGAGCACAAAGCATTCAACTATTACGACCTCATCAGCAGACAAGAATAGAGGGTCAATCGCAAGTTTCGGAGCGAGGTCGAGGCCTAACTCCCAGAAACGAAGCATACTGTGCTAAGACTACATAGAGGTGGTGTCTAGTCACCTGAAGAAGACCGAGAGAAAGCACAAGATCAGTCACTAGCACCTTAAGAACCATAAAATAACTGGAGTATACAGAGCGAAGATGGTCGACTGGATGGTCGAAGTGCTGACTGCATTCAAATGCTCTGATCAGACATTCTTTCTGGCAACCAATATTATGGACAGGTACTTCAACAGACTCAACGAGCTTTGTGAGATCGACAGTCTCTCCAATCACTCAATTGAACTGCCAGAGCTGCACATAACTGGAGTGGTCTGCATGTTCATGGCTTCTAAGTTTGAGGATATATTCCCTCTGTTGATGAAAACAGTTGTAAAGAAGATCGGACATGACAAAATTACCGACGAGCAAATTAGAACTAAAGAATAAGATATTTTTAAGGCTATTGACTTTAACCTTGGAGCGATGCCAACAATCCACGAGTTCTTGAACACCTATATCCACTAAGTCTTCGAAGAGCACGAGGAAAAGGACTTCATTTCAAAGATGTCTGTGTACTTGGGGAAGATGTGCCTCCACCATGAAAAGCTTTGCTACAAAAAATCTTCTTAACTGGCGAGTTCCTGCATCTACGTAGCCCTCAAGATTTGCGAGCAGATGCGCAAGAAGACCATCTTCACCACCCAGATCCTCGCGGACCTTCTAAGCACCTCCGGCGTCGAGGAGGAAAAACTGATACGCCTCTCCAAGAAGGTCCTCTACCTGGCTCAAAACTTCGAGAAGGAACTCCCTGGTCTCTTCAATCTCAGAGAAATCTACATCCCCCAACTCAACTAATTCGTTCAAGCCAAAGAATGAGCATGCGGGGCAGAAGAAGAGCAATGAATGAAATATATTCAAAAATCAGTATTGTAAAAAATGAGACATAGATGTTTGGACCCAGGGTTTGAATGTGTCCCTGCTACTTCCAGTCGAAGCATGTAACTACTCTAAGGGTCGCTAAGTTTAATGGATGACTAGCCACTTGAAGGAATAGAAATTTATGTGTTGAGACAGAAGTAATATAAAGGGATGCGGGAAAACCCCGGCCGAACAGATTGTATTCTACAACTATATATTGTATCAGATTAATTATCATTTATTTTTAACTCAAATCAGCTTATATATTTATTTCGAAATTATAATACTCTAATTATATTCAGCTTCAAACTGGGATGGCCTCACTAAGGTAAGCATCTACAGTCTCCCACTAAAACAGGGCTTTGTTCAGGCAATGCACGTAAAATCTTCCAGCCACTACATACTGCTACTCATCTTCAAAATAAGAGTAATTGTCATTGGCAAAAGCATCCTTCATTTTCAAAAATAGCTCAGCACATTTGTCTATGCACTTAGTCTTCAAATCATATACATAGCATTAATCTCTTGATGTCCCTTGCTGTTCGCTTATGCCTCCAATTATAAGTATTTTGTCTGGGCCGAGGGCTATGGTTCCATAATTATAAGTCTTATTGGGAATTTCATTCTCCTTTATGTCAGTTTTCTTCATATTCATTACCATCAATTTGCCAGTCTCGTTAATCTATCTATCAACAGCCGAATCATTTTGTGCTCTCCAAGACTTTAGCTAAACTGGATCTTAAACTGTTTGCATTCCAAATTGATATATCTCATTCATTCTGCCTTAAGAGCTATAGTGAAATCCCAATAGATCAGAGGGTCCTCGACCCATCAATGGCTAAATTTGAATCTTGTAGTTTGATTTGAAGTTCAAGCAAGTCTGTATCTCCTGGAAATCAAGTTGCTATCCTAGTATTGCTTTGCTAACATCTATCAGCAATAACTTAGCTCTTCCGTAGAGAATGCAAAAGTAAGGGTCGTTATAGTAAGTCTTGAATTGAGATGGGTTCGGACTCACCAAGTCCTTTTTCATAAGGATCTCACCATTCTAGCAATTTATCAGTATCACTCTAAGTCTAACAGTAGTCACATATAAAGCCATAGTTATCATGAGATAGCAGGGGGCAATGCAAGTGAAATGTAGCTGTATCACTGACTCCTGATTTATCAAGTGCACTTCATGGACCTTTGGCTTGCCATTGTATTTCTTAAGCACGAAAATCTATTGCACCTTCTTGAACGTACTGGTTAAAACAATAAAGTCTGAGTTATTAAGGATCCTTTGCTTTATGAAATTCTCTGCTTGCTCAAAATTGCTAAAGCACTCCATTTCCTAGGAGGTCAGATTAAAGGTCTTTTTCAAGTCATCCTCCCTCTTAATAAGCTTTATCTGTTCTCTCGAGTAATTACCGCCACCTGTTGGTGTGCCGTTTTCGCATTTGATATTGTCTAAGTTAGGTGCTCCAAACTCAGAAGGATTTTCGAGTTTAGTCATGTAGTTTACCTTCCTCATGGCTGATTTTGAGTTTGTTCTCTTGACATTATAAAACAGATGCTATACCCCATCAGGTTGTCCATTCGTTTCAAGAGCACTCTTATACATTTTCTGCTTCTCAATGGCTTCATTTTGAAGTTAAAGTTTTTCTTTTTCCTTTTGCATGAAAAACTGATGAATCGTGTCCTCTAAAATAATCTACTTTTACATACTCTGAATTGAGTATTCCAATGCATTTCTCATCTTCAGATACACGTCATCAAGTAAAGACTCAATCCCTTTTTGTCTTGTGCTTAGATAGTCATTTAACTGACTTAGTTTCTATCTTGCTTGATGTTCATCACCCCTCTACAGGTTTTAAAAGATTTCTACCAAGGAGCCTCTAACCACAGTTTCTTATTCTTATACTATGTTGTCTCCAGACCACTCTTATATTTCAATTTGCGAGTAAAGAATTTCAATTTAGTCTTTAAAGAAGTGATATAGGTTTTCAGAGAGTTGTCTCTGCTTTGTAGTCAGCTGCTGAACAAATATCTTTTGCATCTATTATGAATATAAGTCAACATCTTATGCAGATTACAGCTTGCTCAGAAAAATCTATAGCACTTTGTACTCATCTTTTGATATTTTACGAGATGGTGGTTGATTTTGTAAATACTGCAACTATAACTATTGATCTTGAAAATTGCCTTGTTTTACTTGCTGAAGTGCTATCTTAGCCAGTTCAACTTACTCGTCAAAATTTTAAGCATTCAGATCTTTTATAACTTAGTCGTGACCATTTGTAAAAGCATTATTGCTTACAGAAAACTAGTTCTAATTTTGATCCTCAATTTACTCATAATTCTGATTATAGGGTACTTTATACTAGCCGTCCATTACTTAATCTATTTGCATATTCTATTCTTATTTTTCATAAGATTAATTATACTAATAATCGTAGGGCTAGTCACTTTGAACCTCTCCAAAAATATTCAAATTACTTTATCCAGCATTACTATGGCTGTAGTTATAATTATCTTCATCTCGGTAATTATTATTAGCTTGAATGTCTTATTACCAATCAACTGATCTCTGTTATTAGTTACTATTCCCATTAGAATGATCTTGAGCAATTTGATTCGAAAAGCTGTATTATAAACTGCTTTAATTACCATATTACTCCATATTTTCTAGTTGCTATAAGGCTAAAGTAGCCAAATCTTAGTCATAATCCATCCTAAAAATTATAATTTTTCTGATATTTTAATCAACTTTTATAAAAGCTCATTCTTCTTTTATTTATCTAAGATACAGATGCTGTGGGGTTTTGGGGTTTTGGGG